ACATATTTCTCCTAAAAATTTACATCTCTTTTCTCCCAATCTTCACCATAGAGAACGTCTGAGAATGTGTGTTGGGGTGGAACATAAAAGGAGGTTGAAAACTGCTGAACTAGAGAATATCCTCTTTATTAAAGTAAATAGCGAGACCATGTTAACAACATGTGAAACATATCTAGTTACTTAGAAGAGACTGGTGGTTCCCCTCCCATTTTCATGAGGCCTGCCTACTGCTGATACTGCTCTACGTCAAGGTAACTAAACAGGGCTGCCTCTAGTCCATAGGGCACCTTCGTGTGAACTATTAAAAGGTACCCCTGCCATTTGCTGGAAAATTGTTGTAATATGCTTGTTTCGTTAGATGACACTTTACTCGGACTGACATTTGTCATAATAAATATACAACCTCATTGTGTTCATTGCAGCCCCTGGGACATGGTACCATTATGTAGAGCCCCGTCTGCACAATGGCATGGGGCATTCCCAAGTAGAAGAAAAAGAAATCACCTATGGCAACATTTGCCTATAACATGAAAATGAGAAACCAGATTCATTGCAGTAACTCTTGGAAAGTTCCTGTTGGGCAAGTTGGTGGTGGTGGAATGTTGTGGAGGCGGGCGAGGGGGCTGGGAGGTTCTTTCATTGATGGCTTCCATTATTGAGAACAAGAGCTTGGCTATGGCTCTTTATATGTCTTCAGTTAGAAAGAGCCTGCAAATTCCAATTACTTAGCTAAATGGAAAAGATTCTCTGTTTACAGAGAAAATACAAAGCTTGCTTCTTCCCCATCATTAAGCAGACCGAGTATACTTAGCAAAACTTTTCCACTTAGGTGTCCAAGTTAAGACTATCAGAGACTTTTGTTTGAAATCTAAACTTTTAGAAACATTTTGTAGGAAAAACGACTCACAGGCTCTTTCAAAAAGAATCAAATAAATAGTTTGGGGGTTTCCATCTTGGAATTGGGATGTTTATTTAAGAAACTTTAATAAAGCCGTCTTTCAAGCCCACGAAAATTACAGTCAGAATCAAGTGGCGACTAAGGATTCAGGAAATAGCTATTGATTTGTGAGAGAGTGGGGGAAAGAAAGTGCCAGGAAGGAAGCAACTTGAGGAGAAACTTTTGCTAATGGTTCTTATTTCCTCCAACTTTGAAAAAGAATTCCACCCGCAGAAGTTTAAGACATTCTCACTCCCAGATTAGCCCACCTAGGTGAGAGGTAGCACCCAGGGCATGACTGGGCTTTTCTGAGCAAAGACGTGAGAGGGGATGGGGCTGACACGCAGGCTCAAGGCTTAATAAAAAAGGGATTTTTCAATGAGTACAGGCAGGGCAATAAGGGAAGTCCAGAGCTTCCTGCCCAAGGGATTGGGCAGAAACCAGGGAACAATGGAAGGAGAAGAGCTGGCCAGGGTGATCCTGATTGGAGAGAGAAATTTGCACTGCAGAAGAATCCATATGGATGCCAGAGATGGAGTCCTTCATAAGGTGCCCCGAGATGCGCCCTAAGCAGGGGCACAGCCATGAAAGAAGCTAAATTACTTTGGACACCAACCTGCCTTTTTATTTATGTTTCAAAGTCTCCCTGGGCAAGAAATCAGAAAATAGAGAGGGAACCATAATATCAGAGGTCAGAGAAACATGTAGTGGTACGCTATGAAAGACAGCTGAAAATGACATGCAGAGAAGGGGGCATGTGCAGAGTTATTTTGATCAAACTGACAAAGCTGGACCAGCAAATACAGAAGTTCAATGGTTCTGAAGTAGCCACACTGGAGATCAAAGGCTCTGCATCAGAAAAAAAAGTAGCTTAGCCAAATGTCACTGGTGACATTTCACAAACACTTTCTACCTTATGCTCCTAATTATTATTTCTATCTATAATAATAAAAGCATAATATGCTAATTAGATTGGACATCCTTCCGGAGGAAGCCGGGGCTGTGAGGGAAGCCTGTGTCCCGGATGCCAGAGGGAAGCCGGTGCCGGCAGCTGGGGAAAGGAAGGCATACTCTTGCATGAATTTCATGCATCAGACTTCTAATACACACACACACACACACACACACACACACATATATATGCCTAAGCGACCATTACAACTGGTCGACCAGTTGACTGATCACTATGATGCACACTGACCACCAGGGGGCAGATGCTCAACATAGGAGCTGCCACCTCACAGTCAGTGCACTCCTACATCCAAACCCTTGGGATCCCTCCCACCTGCTGGCCGGCCCCAATGGCCCCGATCACCGGCCAGGCCACAGTACCCCACCTGTGCATGAATTCATGCACCCGGCCTCTAGTAGAAATATGATCCTAAATTCATTTGGGTTGTCCAGTAAATAAACACTCTTAGAATGCCATAGTTCAGGTGTCCTCAAACTACGGCCCGCGGGCCACATGCAAATACAAATATTGTATTTGTTCCCATTTTGTTTTTTTACTTCAAAATAAGATATGTGCAGTGTGCATAGGAATTTGTTCATAGTTTTTTTTTAAAACTATAGTCCGGCCCTCCAACGGTCTGAGGGACAGTGAACTGGCCCCCTGTTTAAAAAGTTTGAGGACCCCTGCCATAGTTGCTTGTTTTCCATGTTTTTTATTTCAGTGAAATAATGGTGAGAGATATATGTATGCTGTGTCCTTACTATCACTTAGGTTGACTCAGCAATGATATAAACCCTGTGGAAGTTTAGGTGGACCCATAATCCTCGCCTGAGCTTTAGTTACTGTTGTGGTGCCTAGTTGACCAAGCAGTAGCATGCTCAGGGAGGTGGAAAAGGAACTTCCCAGGGAAGGACGGGCTATTAAGATGTGACCTTGCCCATTAGATGTGGCTTAAGAGTGACTTAAGTGACAACCAAGAAGATGAATAACTTTCCCAGTTGGGCATGAGGTGGAGCTGGGTGGAAAGTAAGATGAAGCAACCAGAAACCTCCCCATATGCCTGCCTTGAAGGGTAAGGAAAGATGAAGCTAGTGGCTCTCAATCTTAGCTGCACATGAGAAATGCCTGGAGCTTTTACAGATTCTGATACCCAGACCACACCCCAGGACAATCAAATCAGAATCTCAGGAGGGACCTTGCACCAGTGTTTGTCTTGTTTTGTTTAAGTTCCCAGGTGGTTCCTGTGGCAGCCAAGTTGGGGACACCTGGATTAAATGAAACACCGCAGGTGTCTGGCCTGCTTGGTGCCCAGTGAGTACGAGCATCCTCTTTGACTCACTTTCTGCTGCTCCCTCCCCCTCTTCTGAACTCGCACAGAGTAGCACTGCATCTGTCTTGGCCTCACCACACACATGAGAGGTGACTGCCTCAGAGTTGGAGAATTCTTTTTATCTTCATGTTGAAACAGACAGGACTCTCCTCCCACTTTTATGTACCGTCTCATTGCTTATTTCATACTTTTATCTTCCTTCCAATATTACCCAGAGACTGTGGGTTTAGGACGTTTTCTAACTTCTGTGTCCCTAGGGATTGAATTTAGTTAAATCTTCTCGAGCACTTCAAAAGGATCAGGGTGAAAACAAAATTGAAGGAATAAAGGAGGTTCCTAAAAATAGAACACAATTCATCCATTTCAGTTAAAGATGCCTTCATGTTTTCCAAGCATTTTTGGACTCACAAACATTTTTAATAAGCTTACTTATGAGTCTTGCTGAAAAATAAATAAAATACACTTGTTTTCATTAAAGGAAGAGATCTTTTTCCATCTTAGTTGGTATTGTTGAAGGAGACAAAAGGAGTCCAAAACTCGGCAAAAAATCACATAATTAGTGACATATTGGTCACAGATGTGCGGGGAGAGCTACACTTTCTTCCCGTGATTAGTACTCTAAATGCCCACAAATTACATCTGAAAGTCAGATAACCTCCTTATAAAAGGGAAGGGTGAGAATTATGGTATTTGAAAAATCTTCATTTTTAAGATATTGTAGGTGTGTTTTTATAAACAAGCGAGTAACAAATGTTTACTTGCCAATTGTATTTTTAGAGATGTAATGCCAGAAGATGCCCATCTTTACTTATTATCCTCAAGTCAAGCAAGTGCAGTACTTGTAAATGATAAGATTTCCTTCCCTTAACAATTCTTAAGAAGGTCAGGAAGGCAAAACTCAAAAGGCAGACGGGAACTCTGTCCACTAATTTCATTGCTTGCATCTGGAGGCCTTTGAAGCAAAGTAGGGGGAGTTTGGCCAAGTTGTATTCAGTTGCATAAAGTGCTCAAGGACTTTAAGGAGAATGTGGACAGGCCACTCTGGGCGCAGGGTTAGGACTCACCTGGGAGGACACGGCGTTGACGCTCGGATGTCCGTGAAGGCAGTTGTGATAGATGAACATAATTCCAGCCCCGAGACTCTGACTACAAGGATGTAATGGAAGGAAAGGGCATATCGTAAAAGAAAAAGGATGAAGAAGCACATCTGATGGACATAAAAGTAATAATGACAAACTAAAGCTTTTAGAAGACTTCTTGAGAATGTTTTACTCCTGTTGATAAGAAAACTAGACAAGGCAGTGACTCCTAGAGGGAGGACAGATGCCTCGATTCTCATCATGTTTAAATGACTGAGCTGACCAATTTCACATGTCACATAAATTGAAATTGGAAAAAAGGTGGAAAGTCAGCAAAATAATTAGTGCATTGCCGATGTAAGTAACTGAATTATGACACAAATGGCCAAGTTTCCTGACATAGGTAGAAGGTTATCTATTTGCATTTTTAGTTCGGTAATACGCATTTCAAGATGATTTAGTGAGCTGATGATTGCAAAGACAGGTAGCTTTAAATCAGGAGCCCCGAAGCTAGATGATGTCCTGTCAAGGTCATGTCAGTGTGTGATGCGAATTGAGTCCTGTCTGCTGCCTTGTGTGTTATTTGATTTTTATAAGTTCCAGACATCATACCCTACATCTTTTAAAAACTAAGCCTATAAAAAAAAGACCAAGTTCCTTTCATTTTCAAAGTACCTCGTTTCTGTTTTTCCCACTTCCTAGGAAAGTGACGATATTGGAGGACCCTGATCAGAACATTCACCTGAAAAACCTGTCTCGCCATCAGGCAACCACGGAGGAAGAGGCTCTGAACCTGCTTTTCTTAGGAGACACCAACAGGATGATTGCAGAGGTGAGAGACTGTCCCCTGAGGCTGCTAGCACACTAGAGGAGAGCATGGGATTTTAGGGACAGCAAGGACCTTACACATGATCCCATCCAACTCTCAGCTGCCGAGTAGGAAACCTAGATCCAGAGAAGCGAGACTTTCCCAAGCTCAACAGTGACTTAATGAGCAGGAATTAGCATCTAGGCTCTTAATTTTTATATTTTTCAATTTTATACAAATTGGTTTGCAGCTAATGAATGACAACTCATTAAATATCTTAATTATAGGAATTTTTGCATAATGCTTGCAATTTAAAAATACACAATTCATTCTTCCTAATCTCAAATTACCCATGTGTTGGTGTGTGTTTATGTTTCCATATGTTTTCGTGTATTCAGTGGAGGATCACTTATAAAGCATTTGGATTAGTGCACGGGATGCAGGACGTGCTCTCTGCATTGGCAGCTGTCGCTGGCAGATCTGGGAACACTGCCACAGAGTGTAATATGAGTATGTTTTGGTGTAATATTGGGGACATACTTATACTATTTGTTGTTAATCTGACCTTCAAATCTAACTGGACACCTGTATTTTACCTGGGATCCCAAGGCAGGAGCCAGGATTGACCCGCCGTGGTCAGGGGACCCTGACCTTAACCAGTTACAGGCTGGAGATTGAGGGTCACGAAGCTGTCATCCAGCGACCCTGTGGGTAAAGGAGTGGGGTGGTGGTGGTGGTGGTGGTGTGGGGACAGTTCCCCCAATGCGCAGCTGACCGTTAGTCCTGGCAGTTTCCTTTTTAAACCATGCTCCCAGATTCTCTGTCTCTGGTGACAAGCAGCAGGGGAGTACAATAAGCTGGGAGGATCAGCATTCTGGGAAAGTCTATCAACTGACCTTTCTTCCTGCCCCATTTTCACTCTCTTGAATGTACTACCTTAGATACAAGACAAATAAATGGAAATGGAACCCAAATTCAGATACTGAAAATACGGCGTTGACATCTATTTCTGTGTTGGGCCCTTACTTTTGTTGTTGTTGGTGGTGGTTTTTACAGTTCCGCGTCAGTACTTTTCAATAGACTAACTTCTATAAGTTGAGCTTATGTGCCACATATGATATGGACTTAAGGACCCTTAAACTATTACTTTCATTTCAGGGGACTTTTACAAAGTATTTTTTAATCTTTATTTTTGAAAGCATTACATATGTCCCCTTATTTTCCCCATTGACCCCTTCTAGCCCGCACCTGCCCCCCACCCCAGGCTTCTCCACCCTATAGTCTGTGTCCCTGGGTTATGCATATATGCATACAAGTTCTTTGGTTGATCTCTTCCCAACCCACCCCCCACATTCCCTCTGAGATTTGACAGTTTGTTACCTTTACGTAGTTTTAAATTTCAGAATATCTTGTTTTGCTTTACAAAATTGGCATTTGTGTTTGCTTCAACATTTTGTCCATGTGATCATCTGTGGTGCTCTAATTTGTCACAATAATTAAAGATTAAGGAATAAAGGCAGAGTAGAAATTAAGGAGTCTGATGTAGCATGCCCCATTAAAAACCCTGTTCCTTCATACACAGTTTAATAAACAGCAAACCAAGAGACAGAGACATATGAGAATCAATGCTACTGGAAAACCAGTGGGGAAGCCTGTCCCTGCCTCAGTGCTAACTTCCTTCGAAAGTGACTCACTTGTCTGAGAGAAGTCGAGCCCTGTCCCCACAGCGTCCCCTCATCTATAATGGGTAATTGGGGGCTCCTGGCCCTTAGTTACCATGACTTCTATAAGCTTAAAAGCTTGGCCTTTGCTATCTACTTTGTCAACTTAGCTCACTACATCTTTTCACACTGGTATAAAGTTTTAAGGATCTCAGACTTCCTTTATACAAGCTTATCTGTCATGTTCCTTCATCTTACAAAATCCCCACAGTCTTTTCCTATTACTTACTGATGAGTATCTAATGATATTATTATAAACTAGAGGCCCGATGCATGAAATTTGTGCACTCAGGGAGGGTCCCTCAGACCGGCCTGTGCCCTCTCACAGTCCAGGAGCCCTCGGGGGATGTCCGATTGACGGCTTAGGCCTGCTCCTCGCGGAAAGCGGGCCTAAGCCATCAGTCGGACATCCTTAGCACTACTGTGGAAGCTGGAGAGGCTCCTGCCACCGCTGCTGTGCTCACCAGCCGTGAGCCCAGCTTCTGGCTGAGTAGCGCACCCCCTGTGGGAGCACACTGACCACTTGGGGGCAGCTCCTGCATTGAGCGTCTGTCCCCTGGTGGTCAGTGCAGGTCATAGTGACCGGTAATTTCGCCATTAGGTCGATTTGCATATTAGCCTTTTATTATATAGGATACGCTGAAACCTGAAGAAGTCCAATTCAAATAGTGCTGATATGTATTATGTTTTTTTTTAATGTATTCCATTTTCCAGTGAAAAGCCTAATTGTTTTAAACCAAATCTAATAGATGTGGGATGTTTCTGGGCTTGCTTCTATTTTTTCTTTGGTAAGCATAGCTACCATGTTTTCCTGAGAACCTGCTCAGAGGACTTGACATTGTTGTAGACACTGTATAATCATATTATTTCTGATTCTTATTGTATAGAGGAAACTGAGGCACAGGGTGTCAGAACACGGGCTGAGTGTCCCGGGCTGACTGACCCAGCGCCGTGTTCTTTCCTTGTGCCTCATTCCACAAATGCCACGACCACACTCACATGTGTCAAATTCTTCAAGTGGGGATCTATTTCTGAATTATTTAAAAGGATAGCAAGTTTTTAGCACTTCAGTTTAATCTCTTGAATTCATTGAAAGCAAATACATAAAAATATAAATGAAAAAGAACTGTCAATCCCTGGAAATACTTTATTATTCAGTCTCTAATGAAGCATGTTCTAGATTGAACCTCGCTGACGGAATGTAATTTGACAGCACAGAACAAGCTTACCAGGATAAAAAGAAAGCACTATTCTTTTTTTTTTTTTTCTTCTCAAAAATAAGCTCCCCAAATTCCCATTTACACGGAGACATCCAGAAATTGCCATAGTAACCAGAAAACAGTTGCAAAACAAAGTCTGCAAATGTGGGACACCAGTGGAGTGCTCTTCCCTTGCAAGTTCTCTCTCAAAGCCAGCATTTCAAGGAAAAAATGATCAAGATTAGCCTCATCCTCTTCTTACTTATTCCAAACTCTTAAATAGTTTCTATAAGTCTACCAGTGTTTTGAATAAGACCTGATTATATCCTTAGGGTAAAAAATTTTTAAGTTGACTTGCTGGGCCAAAGAGCATAAATATCTTAAAAAATGAACTGTGTGTGGCCCACCAGTAGCAAGCATGACTTTGTTATTGGAGAAGTTGGGGCGTCCTCTCCCCCACTGGCTGCTGGGGCTGGTGTCTTCACAATATCTCCAGGAAAAGAATTTTCTGAGACTCGCACAGGAGGATGAGAGATTTTTATTTTCATGGAATTACACCCTTGGGTTTCCAAAGTCCTGTCCCAGTCCTAGAAGGAGTGTAGCTGGGTTTCAATAGACCTAAAAGCAAAGCCAGTGTCCAGAATTTCCCTCCCATGATGCATCCAGGTCCAGTTAGCATCAGGCTAGCTGCAGTCCATTAGTCTAGCGAATGCCAGGAAGCAGGAGCGAGAGGGCCCCGCAAGCCAGGAGTCAAGTGCAATTTGCCAAAAGAGCAAACTCCTGTGTTCAAGGGATTGAAATATCCCAAATTTCAGGCCCTTGCAGTGGCCACACCCATTCTGGCCAATAACTTGTTCCCAGGTGTGACTGACAGTCAAGTACTTCCCCACATCACCCCAACTCACTGCACATGCACCCATCCTCCTCCCTGTCCAGTCCCTTCCCCCTGCGACCTGCAGGGGATAGACCTGTGCTTCCCTGGGGAGTGTAAAGATGTAGCTTTCTGGCAAAGCTGCCCAAATGAGATGCCTATAATATGTAGCTTTCCTGTTACTAATAACTAGGTGAATTACAATGGCCTACACTTGATACTTTTTGTCTTATCCTATATAATAAAAGCCCAGTGACCAAATGACAGAATGACCAGAACAACCAGTCGACCAGTCGCTATGACGCGCAGACTACCAAGGGGCAGATGTTCAACACAGGAGCTACCCCCCTGGTGGTCAGTGTGCTCCCACAGTGAGAACGTCTCTTGGCTGACCAGGATGAGCAGCACTCCCACAGCTGGCTGATACCTACAGGCCATGCCCCCCACCAGTGCACAAATCCCGTGCACTGGGTCTCTAGTAGTTAAATGTTTCTATCAGTTAATCAAGTCTAATTGAGCAAGACAGTCCTGCACAGTTCCATAGCTGGGACCATTTTCTTGACCCTGCCCATACTCTAAGCAATCTGTCCTCAAGCGTGGTCAGAGGATAACTTGCAGTAGAGTTTCCTGTCATAGTCAAAAGACAAGTTTCTGGGACCCCATTTCTAACCCATGGATTCAGAATCTCTGCAGCAGAGCCCAGGATTGCACATTTTAGCATGTATATGTGCTCAGGCGAAAGTTGGGGACAGTTTGGTATTTTCCATTAAGAAGCTGTTGAAAAGTTTGTGAGCAGGTCTATAGTATGCATCCTCACCAACATCACTAAATTTGAAAATTTGGCCAATTTGGCAGACAAAAAGTGTATATATATATATATATATATATATATATATATATTGTGTATATATATAGTATGGCTTGTGTTTGGGACCTGAAGAAGTGCCACAACAAATGATGAGACTAGATAAAAAATATGAATTTGGAAACAGGGGGCCAGGCAGAGAGCCCAACTCTAGTAGGAGGGCTTCACTGGTGCCCAGGCCCTACCAGCCTTTTATTCAATTTTAGATACACATATTGCCCTTAGTCAGGCAGGCAATTCCAGTAGCAGACTGACTACCTTAAAGGGCAGTAAATATTAGTAAAGATTTACTTTGAGACTATTAGGTCAGGAAATTGCTTGAGCCACCATTGTCTCCACTAAACAATCGGTGCATAGCTTTG